TGTCCATGCATGGGTACTTTATGGGAGTAGCATTCGAGTGCAATATGGATTCAAAATACATTGTCGAGAAATTGACGAACGAAAAAGTGGTAGAGAGTTGATTTTAAGTGTTCGCGATTGTACAATCGATTTTCATAATTGAGGATTTTCAAAAGTATTGTATGGACAAATGTTGGAACTCTGTGATATGCGAAGTAAATGAGGTCAACTTTTATACTTGAATGGTTTTTCAAAATGGAAATTAAAATTGGCCGACTAAAAAAAAATGTTCACCGACAATTAGGCCACTGCTTCATAAATCACAGAAATTTCAAGTTCGGTTTTTACTTATATTAATAAAATTAATTCAACATCATATTTTTTTTACACTTAGCATTTCAAATCAGCGACTATGAGTATAATGACAGCGCACCAAAATAAAATTTACTGTAAAAGCAGTGACCCAATTTTCACTAATTCAGTTTGAGAAAGTGAACGACGCACAGATGATGCAAATTGTAAAGAAATTAATCACTGTTAACTGAAACTCTACATCTGCGGTTAGCAAACATTCAAACACCCTTTTTACCCTCTCATCACTTCGGAAAACAATGCGAAACAATAAAAATAGGGAAAACAAAAATTCCTCCACTTCGAGTACACGAAAAAGGGTCAAATGAACGTAATTGTACGGCACGGTGAAACTCAGAGACAGAATCCACAGCCCAGACCGCAGTGCCGCCGGCAAAGGACTAGCGTGATCTCGCACCTTAGGACCCACGTTAGCCGAATTAAACGTCCTCTCTCTCTCTCTCCTTCCACTCGGCTCCCTCCACATTTCCGATCTCACCGCACACATGCATATAACCCTCCTAAACGTACCCAGCGTCGGACCCACGGAGCACCTTTACACATGTACCAACGTATTCAACTCTCTCACACTTACCCCCGAAATAAATACAAATCTAGCGCGTAAGTGTATGAACAATGGCTCCGCAGCGTTGTCTCGCGCAACGCTGCATTAGACCCAAAAGTATACGTATATGACATGTATCGGGAGGAAGGGAGAGAGAAGCTTCGCGCTATAATTGGCTTTTCTGTCGTCCCAGTGTATTGCAGCTCGCTCGTGTGATTAGCATACTCGCCTCGAGATCTCTTTCGTCACGCGCATAATGTTCATACGTATAGAGAGCCAAGAGAGTGTCAGCTTTTCATATTTTACTGCTGCTGTTGGCTGTGATGATTATGTGACGCATCAACGATTCGGGACCACGTAAACGTTTTATTAATCAAACTATTACTACAGATTTGTTGCTCGTGTTACAATTTTAGTCATCGACTTTGAGATGCTGGTAATTATTCGAAGAACCAAGTTAGATCGAAATACCTAAACAAGCAGAGTTATGAACAAAAGAATACAGTACAGGGATTTCTTATCACGGCCTAGGTGACAGACAAACCCATACAGTATAGTCCAGTAAACATAAGTACCACACATGTCCGGGGGGGGGGGGAGTAAAGTCGAAGAGACGCTCGGCCTGCTGACCCGAAGACTCATTCGGCGCGCCCTTTGGAGGAAAAGGAAAGGCTGCGCGTATAGCATCGGGGAAAAGAAAAAGAGGAGGTCCGCCGGTGTACGATGAAACCGGACCACCCTGTCATTAGCATTAGCACAAAGCACGAGCGGCAACGACTCCTGCCCAGCAAGTGGTCCACTCGGCGGTGGTTTAACGACTGTCATTACCGCTTCGCGTCTTTCTCCCTTGCACTAGCTCACTCGTTCCCGTAAGCGGAAATTTTGCAGTCGCTCGCTCTATCGGCCAGGCACGCTTCCTGCGCCCTTGCCCATTTGCGCGCCTTTATTTGCGAGTTACTACCCGCTTAGAAGGTGGGTACTTTTTTTGCTTTTTTTACAAAGGACCACCCTTGCAGTGTACCTATATATGCTATACAAACGAATTGAGACTCTACGTGTCTTTATGATGTTTACGTTTCCTTTTTTCTGTGGTATAGTTATTACGTTTGGTCCTTTTTTTGCGAATCGTTTGACTAGGAGTGTGGTACGTATCGACAGATAGATTGATTTTTATGGAGCCTTAACTCTGCTTGAGGAATACAAAAGAGTTCGGTTATTTTTTTTGTTTTGACCAATTGGTAAAATAAAGAGGTATTTTGTTTAAACCCTATAAACTTATGTCGATGTTTATGCTCATAAAACAAGTTGTGTTAAAATAATAGTTTGTCGATTGGAAAAATTACCAGCACGTACAATTGTTTATGATACTGCGTTTTTCTAAAGTGTCTGCACATTCAAATTCACACGAGCATTTTGTATCACAATAATGGAGTATTGTCTTTTGATTCTGTCACAATTTGAGTTATATTATGGATTGCTGTGTGGAAAAAGACATACCCTTACTAGCTTCTGGTACAAAAAAAAACCTACGCGCATTTTTCACAATATTGCTCCGAAACGTGATACCATCTATACGAAGCCAGGCAAGGCTTAAACAGAAGTATAGATACGATCTCGAGTATCAAATTGAAACGTACAAGCTACACAAGCTAGCGACGAGACGAGAGCTCGAGGGTAATATCTCAACTCGAGCTCGACGCGTTAATTCGATTGCAGCGTGTCACACGTCTGTCCAACAACGGATAGCGCGAACGATGATTTGATTATCAGCGAGCAAATGCCTGTGCTTTCTCTCTGTCCTATACGTGGGTTTTTTTTTTTTTTTTTTTTTTTGACCTAGGAAACGGATACATCTCACCAGTGCGAGCAAAAAACAAGGGGCCCCCTAGTTTTCTCTCTTCATTTTTTCGTGCAGTACCCTTTGTTTCATTCCCATGCTCCTTTTTTTTTTAAGTAAGCACCAAACGACGCGAGGCAAAGGCAGCCGGCAGGCAAAAGCGCAGCCGGCCCGTGCGTATACCATGATACCTCAGTCTCTCAGGCCCTCGCGATCTGCATAAGCTATAGGTGTGTTGTAGTACATGGAACTTACAGGCAGTGTGAGAAATGTATATTATATAGGCCTATATGGGGAGAGAAAGAGGTCGTGGGTACAAAAAATATTCTAGGTCGGGGGCGAGAGGGAAAAAAAATCCGGAAGCGCGAGATTGACGTGCCGACGGTCAGACGTGCGGAGCGGTGTCGGTTGGGTCAGCCCCCGCCTGTAAGTGACAGATGATAGACGAATAATGTAGAGATCGGATCGCCACGATAAAGGGGTACTTTCTTTTTTTCTAAACTATACCAGATTTTGAAGCTCTCGTTGATTCGTATACCTGTAATAAATTGACATCTCAGGTAGCCACACATATCATTATGTTTATAATGTATGTACATACTGCGTACGGATGCATTACACACTGTGTATTTAGTGTAAAATCAACAAAAAAAAATAAATTACTGATATAGTACCTATACCAAAACAGTAACCTAATCTAAAAGGTGCAACGACACCCAAATCCTCGCATTGCAGGCTGGATAAGACGTGCGCCCTTCTGTGACTTCTCCGGGGATCTCCCGTGCATCTGTGTATATACGCGAAGCCACCATACGTGAAAGCGTCGGAATTTACATAAGATCCTTGCCCCGATGCCTGGGTCCCCCTTTGGCCCCCGACGTTTTTTTCGCAGTCTCGGGGCCCTCGACGCGTCCTATTTGCATACGCCATCAGTGGGCCAGCGACGAGGACCGCCGGTCCCACGGACTGTATGCGCGCTCCTTTGCATAACTTTTCTTCGTGCTACGGCGGCTTGTACGTGCGCTGTTATGTTTTCCTTTGGCGCACAACGCGCGAGTGTCATCTTCTTGGTGCATCTTTTATTCGGGCGCGCGATTCCCGCACGCGCCCTCTTGTATGGGAAACTATGGGGGATTGTGCGAGCAGGGATGCTTGGGATCAGAAATGACGAGGGGTGTAGCCGTGCACATATATTACTCATTGTTTAATTATGAATTTTTGAAAAAGGTTATATAGCTGCGCGAAAGATGCTTTAAGGGCTTTTTGTTACTAAGACGCGGAGATGATGATTTGGGTGGTGCTGTTAAAGGATGTATTGGAAGAAAACGGGATGATTATTTGTATTTTATAACTGTTGATTAGTAAAACATTCGGTGATTAGGATTTATAGGTTTATTTATTTGGTGTGTTTTATCGTAGTAAATATATATTTCAACTTTTACGGTGCAAAGCCTTGTAGTAATTTACAGAAAAAGTTATTTATTTAAAAATATTTCTTATTGGATCGTTATTGGTCATACATGCTATACACTTTATATGAAGTACTTATCCAAATACGACAATATAATATGTTTAACGGTAAAAAATTTGAATAAGAGCTGCAATGTTAACATGAATATAGTTACAAAATATGAATTAAAAATCAATATAATTTATGTACTACAAAAAAATTAATTACAGTGCAAAAAAATAAAGTAGTCTGATCATTGGAGGTTACAAGAACCTTTCAATGCTTGTAAGTTTACAGAATAAGTTTAAAAAAAAGAAAATATTCAATCATGAAAAATGGTGCAGCACTAGTTACGACGAAAGATTGCTTTCCACTGATAACAGCCGTAACTGGGATGGTCATTGAAAATTAAATTAAAAAAGAAACCAAAATTTCTATACACATAGACACTTACGTCTGAAATAAGCTTCACTTTAAGTCAACACAATAACATATACAATTAATGAAGATGAAGTTAGTACTTTATTTTAAAACACAAAATTGCCAAATAATTTTTCAACATGAATCTTAATCTAAATGAAAATAAACTAAGGGTAGTGATTAAAAAAAATGTCCTTATAGGCGATGACAAAGTTTACAAAAAGGACACGTAAACTTCTTAAAAAGAGAAACTCATGTACAATAAAAATAACTGTCAAAGTCAACCCAAAGAAAAAAAAAATCTCATGGTCGTCAAATGTAAAACTCTTATTAAAACTATTGTTTTTCCATTGAAAATATCTTTTGAAAATGGGGATCACACGGGAAAATCCAAAGTATCAGTGTGCACCCTCCTCCTCATTTTCCAGGTAAGCCAAACGCACGTCCATCTCCGAGTCAATCCTCTGGCGTAACTCGTCCAGCACCCCAGCCTGTATCAGCTCAACGTCCTCGGCCGGACAGTAGTCATCCTCGGACGATCTGCTCGAACGGCAAAAACAGAAAAAGAAAGCGAGCAAAAGGTGGCTCGTTAAGAATGAAGAATCAAAAATAAAACGAGAAAACGAGAGACTAAAGAGGCGTGCAAGAAGCAACAAAAAACGAGAAAATAGGCGCAATTACGCGGCAGTAGTAGTAGTCGTCGTCCCGCGAGACAATCAATTATTCCCGTTGCGTAATTCCTCGCGCGGCTAATGGTCTATTATACAATTATTGCTGGCAGTAAATATCCCCGGGGTTAATTGTTTCTGCTAAATAAAAGAAACAGTCTCCTTCCACGTATAGACCTGTACACCCTTCCACTACTCTCTCTCTCTCTCTCTCTGGTACTAGCACTACAGCCGTACAGCGACGTTGGATGCGATGCTTTACTTTCGTTGAGTAAGTATACTAGTATACGCTAAAGTAGGGGAAGCAATGGTGGGGCTTGGACGACGTACTAGTGGTCGCAATATCTCCGTTCAGGAAAGAAGAACAGAGGTGGAGAAGGAGAGGGGTCCAGTAAAAAAGTGGGGGCAAGGGTACAAGGGAGGGTACAGGATACGAGGGTAGGGATACGAGAGGGGAAATATTAGCAGCGTGAGAGAGACGTTGTGCCAGTAGATGGGGAAGACTATACACCAAGTGGGGTGGATCGATCATTTTTTCCCTCGTCTACTCTTATACTGTCTTTTCTATTCCCCACTTTTTATTCTTACAGTGTTGTGCGTTTGGACAACGCGACGTTGAATGATATATACGCACTTTGACTTCTCGAGCTTCTTATTAATAGGTGGCGCCAGGATCTTTGTTTACCTTCTCAGATTTATTTGTTATGATCGAACTGAGAAATCATTGAAAATATCTTTTGGCATTTGAAAAAAAAAGTTGAAGCAAAAGACTTAATTTTATATTTCATCTAAAATCTAAAAGTTACTATAAACTCTATATTTTCTTATCATTAATATCTTAAGTCAAGATTTTATCTACTTTATTGCTGATTGTATTTGTAAATATTAATAAATATTACACAGAATTACAAACTGTTTCTGTACTCTTTACTCTTAATATGTATTTACACTCGGTACTACCGAGTACGTACGTCTATTAGTTAAAAATTGTAACATCTCAGTTTATATTACGTACGTTCCATTACGATTTAGTACTTCGTGGTATAAACGCTATCTGGCTTTGTAATAATGGCAATGTAAATTATAATTTGGCCTAACAAGAACTCAAAATACTAAACTCAAATTCAATTAATATTTATTTCATCAATTTTTTGATTGATACTTATTACTATAATTAGATGTAAATTGTTACTCAGTATGTTAATATTGAACATTAGTTTGAGAGAAATTCGCGAATGAATATTCATGTATTTATAATATTATTTTCTCTATTTTTTAAGTGTAATTTCGTATCCAAAACTGGAGAATTTTAGAGCACATTAGACGTATCCTTTTGTGGTACATTTAATTTTTTTAAATGTATCAGTAGACATTTGTAAATAAAGTTTATATTCATTGTAATAGTAAATTTATAAAAAATATACTAACCAAACTGGTAGTTTAAATTTACAGAGCAAATATTTTTTACTTAAAGTCCAATATTTTTTACTTTTTTGTTTTTGTACTGAAAATTTGTGAAAACAATCACACGACAACAACTTCGTACCATTTTTAATTTTCAATAAAATATATAATTTATACTGTTCCAAAAATTTACTCTCGCACGAAAAAATTGCATTGATCCAATTTTTTAATCTGTTACAGTTGCTATCTACGTATCAAATATAACAAAAATCTTGCTAGAAAAAAAGATCTCATGGTTTTCTTTTGAATGTTGTCTGTTCTAGCTATTGCAAATTATACATACATTGCCGCATAGTTTCTTACTCACGACAAGTCGATAGCGACATCCATCGGCAAAGTAAAAAAGCATCAATTGGATCCTTGTACACCCCTAGGCCAATATTTACCCCCTCATTTTTGGTTCAGAAGGTGGGACCTTTCCGTGGCCTCTCACCGCCGGCCTTCTTCCGTAAAACCATCCCCCTTAAGCCGGCCCATCCTGCCTGCGTATCCGTCCCCTGTTTTTCTTTTTCCCACTCCACGCACTACCCGCACCTTTCACCGCACGCACGAATTCTTTTGCACCATCTACGTATACCCTAAGCCCTCGGGGGATGCTCGAAAAAAACATGCCAGCATAGTGAGTCGCTCGTGTAATGATTGGCACGTGCTTGCTCTCGATATTAAAATATCAGCATTTTTACTGAATTCTTTGCGAAATATTTTTACTACAACAAAAAAAATTCCAGAGATATTGCACTTTTATTTTATCCATCACACGCGAGCTAAGTACTTCAGCACCGTAATTTAGTATGAAATTAAATGAAAGGAAAGGTTAGTTTGAAATATTAGTGCACTGACAGTTCAATTAATCATAAACATGAAATCGAAAAAAAAATGTAGAGTAGAAGAAAATCTTAAAATAACAACTCCACATACCTGGCCACTGTGACGATGGTAGGCGGAGCAGGCAGGGCATTCAGGAACGATTTAAAAGTACCACCGATCAGCCGATCGAGATCATTTTTACTAGTTATATGGTGCGGCAGCTCCGTATCATCTATCGTCGAGCCGGCATCATGAATCTGCATCCAATCTATTTCGACATCGTTATACACTCGGTGTATTCCGTCATAAATTTCGAGAACTGCGTCGTATCTGAAACAAAAAAAAAAAAAAAACTTAATGTTAATAACACAAAAAAAAAAAGAGGTGAAAAAGACAAAGAAACAAAAACAGACGGAAACGGAAAAATCAAGATGAGGAGCTTGATGGCAGCTCCGATACAAGGGTAATATCTAGTATAATGATATGTACGTGCGTGGCATATCGGTGAGTCGAAAAATTGAAAAGGAGAATCCTTGTACCTAATTCGAACATGGTCAGCCGGCTGTGGCGTTGTTTAATTGGGTGTTACAGGAATTAGAAAGGGGATCTCGCCAACCGCATGCATGGGAGTCTACGGTCACGTCGTCGGTACAGCTCTTTCCCAGCAGACCTTCGCATTTGAAATACCAATGACCATCGGTTCGGGACAAACTGGACGTGGGTTGTGGATTAATTGCCGGACGATCCAAGGCAGCCCCGTCTTCATCCTTTACACCCTCTTATTTAGGTATATAATATGTACAGGAGACCGAAGTCGTGTCATAATATGCGGTATGTGCTCCAACTTTTTAGTTAACAAATAATTTTGCTCATGATGTGGTATGGGTTTGAGCGTGTGTATAATGTGCACACGTAATATATGTATAGGCTTTCGAGAACAAAGAATCAAAATTCCTCCTCGAAATTTATTTTGGTGGTGTGATTTTATTGGCCACAAGTACTTGGGACGGTAATGTATGATGTGATGTAAGATCACATGCAAAAAAGTTCGTTCCTGGACTAAAATAAACTGAAACTTATATACTTGAGACGGAGCTTTTCTTCTTCATGCTGGTACTTATATTTTGTTTGTTTAAAACGGAAAATCATCGGTTGTCCGTATACTAAAGCAATTGATTTTTGAACTGATATTACTAAGATGGATGATGTATTTCACGAAAAGTCGTATGATTTATAAGTATTGTTACTACTTGAAACAATCCTAAAGTAAAATCGTTTAAATGAAAAATTCTAATAGGCACAGTGTGTTCTGTACTCATATACTTATTAATAATTAATTATAAGCAGACTTCAAGTTCGTTTACATAAGTCTAATTTGTATTTACACAAGTAGGCAGTAACTCAGGACTCAGAATTAAGTATATGATTTTCGTTGTAAAATAAAAATTAAAAAAAATAAAAAACTCAAGTTAGGTGCAGAGAAATTTGAGATAAAGCAGATCCTTATTCGCCTTTTTAAAGCTGTTTCAATGAAAAACTTTGTAAGTTAAACTGTATAAGTATTCGATGAACAAACAAATATTTTTGCATAAACATTATTACACTTCGTACGTAAAAATTTCTTTTGAACTATTATAAAAATATTTAGACCAAGCTAATAGCTTATCAACACAATTGAAATCATATTGCTTAGCAACGAAAAATTCCCAAGTAATGTGGTGTACTTACTGGTAGAAAAGTTAGTTTTATAAATCATAATTTAATTACTAATTACTTTTGTTTAGGACCCACGTTTTTTGTTAAAGACTACACATGAGTATAAATATTCTCTGAATACGCTGATATACCATGATGATATATGATGCCAGTGATTGAACGAGCATCTGAATACAAAATCGTTTTATTTCATAACTTCATTTCAAAAGGCATCATATCATAGTCATTTAATAAAACGTATAGAGTAAAAAAAAATTTTTTACGAACGCATTAAAAATATCTATGTAATTCAGAAAATTTTTGTGATGTTTGTTGCATATTGACCAAGATAATATATTTTTCTAAAACATGAGTGAATTATGCATTTGATAAAAAAAAAAACCAAGTTTTTGAGATGGTTTTCGATATCACTTGAGATAGTACGTTGTTAGATTGCTGTAAGATAATACTTTCTTAAAACAATTTAGGAATAATGCGTTATTACCCTCAACTATCGAGACATGCGCACATATAATTTGTCCCTGCCAGTGAGTCAAGGTATGATTTTCCTGGATACAATTCGAGAAACCCGTTGCCCTCCGATACTTATTCAAACAAAATTACAAAACCATACACGCCTCAACGTTACAGCCCACGGGTATACAATTTTCGTCTCAATGCCAGGTGCAACTCTTCTGCCCAACATTATCGAGCGAAAGAACGACAACGACAAGTTATACGTATATGCATCAGACGAGAGCAAGGCAGGCCCGCTAACGCGCTAACAGTTATGAGAGGCCTCTCACTTTTTTCCTCGCTGAATATTAATTATTCTCTCACGATGCAGCACAGCATACACCTGTCCTCCACTTCTCGTATCGGTTCCTCCGATTCCTCGCAAAGATTGCACCGTCGCGATGCGCTACAACAGTTGCCTGGCTAATTGCTGGCAGCATGCAGCAGCGGCGACGAGCCGTCTAACTCGATCGAGCGAATAATCGATCTTTTCTCGTCCCTTCCAAGCTGTGCGAGCGCAGTAAAACCAACCCAACCGGTTTCGAGCGATGCGAGCATCTCACGTGGACACGTCGATTTGACGAACGCTCAGGTTTTTGCGATCCTCTTGCTTCCTTGCAAATTGCACAAGTTTGCTTTTTTAAACGTGTGACCGTGGCTCTTTCCCAAAGGCTTCTCTCGGGCGTGAGTGCGTGTATTTTTTTTCCCCTCAACTAGCATTGTTTCACACAAAAAAGATCGTTCGACCGGTTCTGACATTTTTATGTACGTTTGTGAATTATTCTAAGCAATTTTGTAATTACGTGAGTGTAATTGTTTTTTTTTTTTTTTTTAGTAACTCTTTGAGTAAAAGCGAGTAGCTTTGCAGCTTGACTCGGAAACTTTTTTCTTTTAGTTTTCTTGGTTTAGATTAACTTTGAAGATCAGATAAAGATAAATATCGGTGGTAAAGCAAATAGTAGCAAAAATCATCTGTCGAGAATCTCGGTTAATGTAGTAATAATATATATTATAGAAAAAAATGTATGCTGTACTGTACGATTAATATAATCAAAACGCAAGTCTTGCACAAATTGTCAATACAGCAATCATCCTAGTGGCAAGTGAAAGTTTGGTACTTAAACATCTGGTGCATGTGTGCAAAACAAATATTCAAACTACAAAAGATCCCTCATTAATACTGATGTATATCTAAAAGTATTCTACTGAGATACATATCTAGATATCATCACACTACAATGAACAATCCGTAAAGATACGTCTCAATCTAATTGCAGTTTTACTGGGTACAATGGAATGACATTATTTCGGATGAATGTCAGTATTGTTATAGCATTTATGATTCAAACATTTGATGATTTAGAACTATATTTTAAGTCAACATTGCCTTCCCATTTACTTAAAGTAAATGTTTGTGTACTACGAATACCATAAAAAGCTTCAAAAAATGAGCAAACTAGACAACTTTCGATAAAATTTAAGTAAAGCTACGGTAAAAACTATCTTTAAGTAATGAAGAATAAAAAAAAACAAAAAGAAACAAAGAAAAAACACTGTAAATCGCAATGAAAATCTCAGGAAGTCGAAAAACAGCTTTTTTATAATTTTGTTCTTGATTTCTACATCTTAAGCATGTCTTTCCGTTTACAAGAGTTTTCGCGAACACGGAAGAGTCAAGAGCACACAACTTCTAGCCATTGAATTATCAACTCAAAGCGTTATTACTAGTATTGGTGCGATGTCGCGGTGTCCGGGAGATACTTTTTCTCTTCGCCGTTTTTCGCGTCAAGTTATTTAATTTCCGATGTCTTACCCAAGATTTTCGTTAGCTCCGCCTTTTTTTTTTTCTTTTTACTTGGACTGTTTGCAAGTGTTATAATTATATTAATTTACACACCATACAAGACTTATTTTCTACTATCACTATCAAAGTGGTTGAAAATTTAGTGATTTTTGATGATGGAACTACTTATTTTATATCATACTGTCAAACTGAGTTTTTGAGCTCAGCTCAAATGTTTGAGGAGGTGAATCAACTTGTTAATGAGTAATTCAACTTATCAGCTAAGTATTTTATACTCTAGTTACACCTAAGTCGTTTTAATAAATAATCAAAATTTACAATGGTATTGCGATTGAGAGAACACCAGTATATCTCTGCAACTCCATTTTTTTTATACTCATGCAACTTTACAATACAATTTCGCACACAGAAAAGTACAAAACAATGGTACAACAGGCACTTTCGATCTTCTAATTCGAGATTCAGTAAATTTCAGAGCAAATACTTGAATGGTGACTTGGAAAAGTTTCTGGTTCAAAGATTAACATCATAACTTGAGGACCCAAAAATTTTTATGTTATTGTCACTGACAAGTATGTACTCAAAACTTTAGCAAGTGCTCAATTTAAGTTTAATCTCGTTTTATGTACCAGCATACTAGTATAATGTAAATTTTCATTACAAACATTGCCTGTTAACTGAATCCTTCTTCCATAAACAAAAAATCAAACTTCGGTTCGATGGAACGAATTCATAAAAATAATAAACAACAGAAAATCATTTATAAAAGCCTCCAAAACCGGTTGTATTAACGCAGGGAAAACGGGAGAAAGCGTATGGCTCCATTGTCTTATCAAAATCTCGAAACAACATAACTCACCCTCCGCGTCCCTAATATAAATATTAATCTCACGTAGTACGAGCTGCAGCTTGATCCCAACGTATAACCGTCATGGTAAGCATCTCGAAATCAAGCGCTAAAAAAAATAGAGAAGAAAGAAAGAGAAAGCGCAAAGCACAAACAACAGACGCCAACTGGAAACGACCTAATATACAGGAGAGGATAAATCGAGGCCAGTGTGCGCGTGGACAATAGTGCCAGCGGAGAGCGAGCGAGAGAGAAAAAAAAAGGCAAGAGGCAGCAAAAAACAGCGAGAAAGTGCCGTCGGCGGGGCAGGGAGAGAACGAGAGCTCATTACAAGGGGCGGCTTTGGCGTATTTGTCGTTAAGGGGGTCTGTATGCAAATGGCGGCGACGGTAGTGGTAGTCGAAGAAAAAAAAAAAAGAAAAAAAAACATACGCTGTAGGTATATTACGAAGAAAGAAATGGCCCCGA